CCATGTCATAAAGGCTTAGTCATGTCTCTTGACCAAGCAATGAGCTGGTGCCCTGACACACAGTCAGTGCTGCATGGGAACCAACCATGCAACTTCAACAAATGTTCTTGTTCCAAGCCCAACTTGGCTGTGAATGAAAACTTGTCTTAGTTCTCCCACCCAAAGATGTCCATCTTTGAGTCTCCGTAAGACCAGGGAGTTGGGCTTCGAAGATTGCTCGGCCAGGACAGCATCAATAGCTTGGCCTTCAAGGACTAGCCTGCAATGCACCAGTGCTTCCCTTTTGAGGAACTTGCTGCCTGTAGGGGGATGAAGCTTGCGCTCATGCTGAACTTGGTGATCTCAAGCTATTCTAATAGCAGAGCATAGATGCCTTCCCTGAGAGATTTCCACATGCCTGCACCTTTGGGGGTGAAAGCCTCTGGCCCTGATCAGGAGTGAGCAGTATACTACTGGATAAGAGGAAATACATACAAATATGGACATCATTGGCTGGTCCCTTGTTCAGTTTGTTCAGAGCAGCCAAAGCCCCAGCCTGTGCCAAGTCTTGGGCATTACTGAACATGACATTGCCCAGTGCTTGTGCTAACTCATCTTTGTCTTCACTCTGTAGAATCATTGCCTGTAGAACGAATCATATGTCTGTGTATCCACAGTAATGAATCACTGACTGTGTGCATGAGGCTCATGAACCACTTGAACTCATGGGCAAATGTGACTTCCATCTCGCCTCCACCATGGTGGTTTGTCTTGAACTGTTTCAACAATTTGTTCAGCTGTTTGAACAAAAAAGTCCACCACCCATGTGCTGGACCATATCCAGCAAACTGTTCATCCATATGAGTGATCCAATGGAATGTCGGAGTCACATTCAGCATTCCATATATCTGGATAATGTCAGTGTTAGATGAGACATGGAATGAGAAGAGAAAGAGGGAGTTGAGATGACAACAGAAGGAGTGGAATATCTCATTGTGCTGTCTCTCACAGCACAACAATGGAAAGGCAAGAAGGGAGGGAAGATAGAGTGGAGTGGAATATCATTGCACTCTCCCTCAGAGCGCAATGATATTAGCATTCCATGTACCTCAGTGGATTGCCTGAAGAAGGCACAATACAGCAATGCTGCCCATTGTATGTCTGCCTTTATGATGACCCTTCTGGTGTATATCTTAATGACAGTCACTAGTTGCAAGAAGTTATCTGCAGCTTGTTCGGGCACTCTTGGGTGTTCTTCATCATTGTTAGGAAGCTTGTATTGTCACCTCTCCCCTTTGCTGGCTGCTGTGGCCTTGACAAGAATAGGTGGAATTTGTAAATGTAGTCAGTGATCGACTGGATATTGAGATAGAAGAGACTTACCACAGCAGGGCCATACAGTATAATCAGCACTTGCCATTTGTCTGACATTAGGTTCCCTCCTGCTGGGTACCTGACCATCTTAGGGAGTTTCAAGTACCATCCAGGCATCTCAAACTAGTTTGACAAACAGTCAGCTAAACAAGACGGTATACACAGGTACTCACAGTCCTCAGAATGGCGTGAATCTCATTGAGCTCTCATGGCTGGCCAGATGTCTTGAGTCTCTCATGCAAGATATAGTGTTTGATCTTGTGACCTTTCTCACACCTTCTGCTGCTCACCCACACCTTGAACCAGAGAGTTCAAGATATACCTACAAAGCAGTTAGTCAGAGATAGAATATACAAGATTACATGCACCAAGTAAGAGGGCATGCATCAGATTGATTACTGCCATGGTGACCAGGTTGAAATATGGCAGCCAGCAGAGCTGGGACCATCTGGCTCCCCATTGCTTGGCATACAAATCTCTTTTAGCTTGATCAACTATGGTGTGATACTTTGCGCCCTGGCGCTTGTGCCTTTCCCTGCAGCACTGTGTGATTGGCCAGTCCAGTGGAAAGACCATTTCATTTTGTTGAACTTGGCATTTTGTACATGGAAATTGAGCATGATTGTGATCAGCAAATCCACAAAGTTTGCACATTGCTGGGTGGTCACAAACTACAGCAATGACAGCACAGCAAACCAACTGCCCCTGGGGATAATCAGCAGTCTTGACCCACGCACCATCCCTCCAGAGGCCCAAGAGATCATCAACATCTTCTTTGTCATATCGACTCAAATCATCAGTGGTTGGTTCAGTTGGTCCAGGAAGGACTGTTGTGATGAGAAGATTGTATGGTCAAAACCTGCATTTGGCCATCAGTGCAAGGAAAATAATTACTTAGAGCATAGAATACCTTGAGGCTGGTGGCAGGTTAGCAACCTGCACTGATTTCATGCCTGTTGAATGAGGAGCATTGTTAGTCAAGAAGTTGGGATTGAACCTGCTTCCTGTCAGTGCATGTTGGAGTGTGGGACACTCAAACTTTCCAATCAATGGAGATTATGAGACCCAGACACAACTCATGAGAATCATATTCTTGCAAATTGGCTTGTGTGCTAGGAAAGAAAGGGTTGCCATCATGACCAACAAGCATGTTCCAAATATGGCCATCTTGAATGCTCCAATAGGTCAATTTGTCACGGGGGCAATCCAAATACATGAGACATGCACTTTCCACTCCTGGCTGTGAGAAAAACTCCAATAACTGATCAGAGGCCAGATCATGAGCTGCTTGAAGACAAGGGTGCCAGTCTTGATTACACCACATATGAGTGATTTTGAAGAGATCTTCACCACAGCAGGCACACTTGGATGCCAAGAGGTGTGTCTCTGCATTGGGCGCAAGCTGCCAGCACCTGGGGCAGACAACTCATTTCCGGAATCAATCTTGCAGCCCGGATTGTCTGTAGATAGTTTGGAAAGTAGTAGGGGGGGGGGTCTTCTGTGTCAGCATCAAGAACACCAACATGTATAAGAACCATGTAAAGCATAGTCACCAGAAGTTTACAGGCAGTGTGGAGAAGATGATACATGGCATGCAGGTACACCAGCAACAAGCTGATCACTCGCACAGCCGCATTGTCATGTACTCCAGAGTATCTCTTTGAAGACTTTGAAAGATGCTCCTGGCAAGTGGTGACAAGGTCAACTTGGGGAACTGTGATGTTGAGGGTGTCAACATCAACCCCATTGTCAGACTCTGCTGTGTTGAATGGATAAGGTTCATCCCTGTTCCAGGCAAACTCTTCTTCATCCTGAATCTCAACTTCCTTGGGCTCATCACTGTCGATATCCATGTCATCTGTTGAGACATTCTCTAAGGTTGGCAACACAATCACATTGTTGCCCTGGAGTAGTTCCAATCAATTGAGACCATCTTCCATCAGGTTGATATTGTCTTCATCCTTGCTTCAGGTGCGTAGTGCCCATGCAGTCTGTAATGATGGGACAGGCAGGATGAGGGGAGAGATGGGTGGAGTATGGTGATCAGCAGATAGGGACAGTTCCTGGGAACTTGAGGCATGAAGACCAGGACATACAGTTTGGACATTCTTGAATGAAGATGTTGATGATGAGCTGGAGGTGGAGTGGAATATCACTGTGTGTTCAACCTCCAAATCACTGCTGTATTGAATGCCACTGGGTGAGATTGAGCATGCAGGAGGGTCCATGCTTGTTCCATCAGGACCTAGGTGGCAGAGCCCACCTGGGTCTTCAATTTCCAACATTACTGAAGGCACATCTGGAGATCGACACCTTAGGCCACCTTCATCTTCTCGCAGTGTTATGTCAGCAACCCACGCTGCCTGAGATTCTGACTGAGAGGCCATACTGCAATTTAGAAGTGAATTGAGTATGGATGCCTCACGCAGATCCAGCATCTGCATATGCTTGTGGTACAACTGGGAGCTGGGCCATAGCCTCCTGGTCTGTTGACATGATGGACACCTGGTGCATGCCTTGGGCTGCCATTTCAGAGGCATGCAGGCTGGATGGGATGGACTGGGTGAATGTCAGTTTTTGAAAGAGAAGGGGTTGATAAACTCACCTGTAATCCATACTCCTGGGATGCTCAACATGTATTCCCGTTTTGTGGACTTGCCATTCCACATGCAGATCTGCTGTGTTGGTGTGGTGATGATTGCCATCAAGATTGGCTGACATGAAGTCAACCACATGCAAATAGCTTGGTAGCCCAGGTCAACAGCAGTTTGAAGGTATTCCACATAATGAAGCAAGAATTTAGGAGCAAGGTGCAGTTAATACGGTGTCAGTGAGTATGATTTCAGCAGTAATATTTATAGAGAGTCACATCAAAATATCAATGTTAATATCAACAGTTTCATTCAAGGGTCCACAATCACATCTCATTTCATCACTAGAGTAGGTCCTTGCTTATCAAGCAGGTAGCACAATACATTGAAAGAGAATGTGCTTACAGATCAGACAGTCCTAATACAAATCTGGTGTTTGGACTACAAGTGAATTGGCATAGTAGGCATATGGGTCTGAATAATGATTTCCTGCAGACTCCCTCACAGTTCCACAGACCTAACCCCACATTCTGCATGATTGAGTTGCTGGTCATCACTCAAGTCAGTGGTGGTGACTTGAGAATAGCCCGTGGTAAGCATCTTGAACCAGAGGTAAACCCTGCAAGCCCATTCTTGGCTGGCATGGTTGATTCAAAGAGCATTATCTTCCGCCACTGCCACAAACGCTGCCCCAGCTGTTTGTCCGGTTTGGTAACCCATCATAAAAGGCTTGTGGGTGGGAGGGGGCACCTGGATGAACTTTGAGTGGGAAACTGCATTGACAGGAGGCAAGTTGCTAGTGGTAATGGGAGAGGAGGTGGTGGTAGTAGTGGATTGTTGGCAAGGTCCCACCTTCATAGTTGCTGTGTCCTTGAGGATGTCCGCTTTGTACATGGGGAGGGAGTGAATGAACTGGTCATACCAGTCTGAGTTGTAACCTGGAGGAGGAATAGGAGGGGACTGGTGGAGCTGCTTAAGGGTAGAAGTAAGGGTTGAGGATGAGAGCTGAGATGGAGGAGGCATGCTCCTCAGATCCAAGCAATTCAATTTGACAAAACAAATGAACTTGATAATATTGTTGGTGGAGCCCCTCAGAGGCACTTCAGTGAGATTGATGCCTCACAGGCAAGCATCATTGAGATGGAGTGGGATCTTGCCATGCTGTCCCTGAAGACAGAGCAGTGGGTTATCTGAGTCTCATGTCAGCCAGCCACCCCCAAATCCAAAATCCAGATGAACAATGTGTACTGGGGGCCACATGGAGTGGCAAGATGGTGATGCCTCTGTCACCATCTGTGATGAGAGCACTAGGTGCCATTGCTGTGGGCCTGTGTGCAGTGCCACGGAGGCAAACCCTGGAGCAGAGTGGAATATCATCACGCTGAACCCGTTGGAGAGACCACGGATTATCTATCCAAGCTTCAGTATTTGATCTCCTAGACAAGAGCAATGACTGACCTGGAGCCACAGGCCCAATGAGAGGGAGATTGGAATGAACCATTAGGAGATTGCTGGTGCTGTTGTAACACTCATCTGGGAGGAGACTGATAGAGAGTTAGAAAGTTACATGCCAAGGGTCAAGGACCTAAGATAAATCTCACCAAGGTAGTCTTCCAGTATACTCTCTCAGTACTTCAGGTGTGATTTGAAGGGTGAGGACTTGAGGAGGTGGATGTTAAGTCAAGAGAAGATCATCCACTTGCTGTGCAAGGGCCTCCACCCTTGACCCCTGATATCATCATGTGATTGTCAGGATATTGGACTTCTGCACTCATCTCATGATATCACCACCATTTTCTCATCTGCAAAGTACTATTTTGGCTTGTTTCATCAGGATGTCTACATCATCTAGACAGCACAATGATATTCCATCAGCATAATATTTTCTAATGGCAGAGAAAACAAGCAAGACTGATGAATGAGCTTGCGCCACATGTCAGCCTCATGGCTGCATTTGTTCCCCTATAGTGAATAGAGGGAGAAGCCTGCAATTCCGGGGCACCGCATCGGTGGGTCATGCATGAGGCATCCTTATGCCATCTTTACTTACATCCTTCTTAGTTTCTTACTCTCATCTGTCTTGAGCAAAAACAAAGATCAAGTGCAAGCTCAAACAATATGGATTCCCTGACAAGTACAGTGACTGACAACCCCATCATGGTGTTTCTAGAGGAGCTATCAAATCTTGACAAGGAGAAGGAGGAAGTTGCAGATGGGAGGGAAAAGGGAAAGAAGGTGCCTGGAGTGAAACAGATGGACAGCACTGGCACGCTGAGCACCATCCCCCTTGGCAGGGAGGATGGAACTGAAGTCCCAGCTGCTGCATCTGCAACACACAGCATCAGCATGATGAACAAGGAGGAATCTTTGATGGTCGCCAACCAACTGATGATTGCTGCTGCAATGAGGTGTGCATTTGAGGTGGCACATATAGGGGAAGACATTCCCTTGCAGGTTCTGGAGGAGGGTCATCAGGTAAGTCTTATTTCTTTCATATGATGATATTCCTTCCTCATCATGCAAATCCAATATTTGAACAGGGCGATGATGGAGTGGAATATCATCATGCTGTCTTTGAGAACTTGCTAATGTTTCCACAGGTCAATCACCTCGATTGGCATTGCGAGTCACTGGACAGCATCCCTCCTGACACTGCTACAACATTGCTGGACCAAGAGCATTGCAAACACAGCAAGGAGGTGTCTCTGGTGGACATCTATCCTCTCCCTGATGCTGCTGTCCTAGGATATCAACACTGGTCAAACCTGCAAATGAGAACAGGGCACTCTATTGGCTCAGTGACCCAGCTGGGCTCCCTTGTGTACAGGAGGGGCCGTACATGGCAATGCTGGGGCATGATCTTTTATTCTTTTTGCCTGACAGGATTGGTCAATGGTGCCGGCACTTTCATTCACACACATCCTTGGATGGTTGTAGGGACAATCAGTGCATATTTGGACTTTCACTATATGCACTAAGCTAATACATTTACTTAGCCCTTCTCCTCTACTGTCTCATTTGTCAGTGGTTGGTGCTGGAGCTTGTCAACAGTATCTGGGGGGAGAAGAAGGAGTGCTAGAAGGGATAACCTTAGAACATTTAGTGCTTGCTTGTATGCCATGTTATGCTTTGGCCATGATGAAAAAAAGTGTATCTAGCATTTTGACAGTGTGATGATATTCTACTCCATTGTGAAATATCATTGATGAAAGAACCCTGAGTCAGACATTACATCTAGCACAAGCTAGAGAAGGATAAGACATAGGTAAGCTGAATAATGAGTTATGTACTCTAATCAGGAGGAATCTTGTTATCTATAGTTCTCGCAGTTGCAGATTTCCTTGTGTATGTAAACTTCAGGTAAGCATAGATATACTATTAAGCCATGTGGTTTCCTATTTGGCAGACAGTATAGTGTCACTACTTCTTAGTAAACCCTAATTTATATAAGAACACCTAAAACTGCCTCCACAAGCAGACCCTGACATGTAGTGAGTGCAAGGTTCAAGTTCATGGGTCATGGAAGTAAAAAACTCTTGTTTGTGTTGCTTCTCCCAAAGGACCCTGAAATAAAAACCACAAGTGTGTCCACATGTAAGAGGGAATTCCTCTGGTGCCCCCTCCTCAGAGATATTGCTCCCATAATGCCCCTCCAGAGGCAAATTCTCAGAATGCCCTCTCCTTCATGTGCTCACAGAACTTACAGCTTGCATCATGTGTCAACAGGGTGAAGGGTAAGCACTGGGGGTCCTGTCCCCATGGAGTGGCTAAACATATCTCAGAGCAGCAAAAAGGGAGAGAAAAGTTAGAAAAAAGGGGCAGAGCTTATTGAATCATGTTCTGTTTATTTGGTTCTTAATGTTGATGCATTGTCTTGAATATATATATATTAACTGCAGCAAACAGATATTAGGACCCCTGTAGCATTGATTTGTTCCTGCCCTTGTTTTGGATGGGTGAAAATGCTGCACACTATGTGAGCACATGAAGGAGAGGGCATTCTGAGCATTTGCCTCTGGAGGGGCATTGTGAGAGCAATATCTCTGAGGAGGGGGCACTGGAGGAATTCCCTCCCACATGTAATAATTACTAAGCCAATTGAAACTCCATGGCAATAGCACCTCAATAGAAACAAACTTTACCTCCCTGCAGTGCTGCTTACCTAATTATCGAAGCAAAAGTTTGACTTCTCAAGTGTCCTTTTGGACCCTTGTGTGCCCTGACAAAGTAAGTTTATTTCAGGCATTATTGCAAGTCTGATTTTGATTTAAAGTTTAATAACAATACTTTTAATGTCAATATTTTCACAAGTACAATAGTGATGAAGATAAAATGATATCAAAATGATTGCACAAGAACTTCGTTTGGTGATTCCGTTTGATCCCGCTTAGTGGCTGTGTACAAGGGTCCAGGAGATCGAATCAAATGAATTGGCCCACAGCGGGCCAAAATTATAGGGGTCTCAAAGGCCACACTTTTCCTGCCGAGCCCGGCACGGAGGCAAACCTGCTTCTTCCCTCATGAAATTGAACCTCGCACTATCGGCTTTGCGTCGGACGCCCAAATCCCCCAAAATAGTTAACCCTCGAGGAGCAGTGTGACCTGCGCGGCCAACCATGTCCGGTCTCTCCGACGATACCCTTCACAAGGTCAGTTTCATTATTATCTGTCCCACAGGCCGAATCACACTCTTGTTTACCTCGTTTCAGGTGCTTCAGCAAATACAAGCCCGCACCGTTGCCGCACAACGCGAGCTCTCCCTGGTCCGCGCCCAAATCGCGGCCTCTGAGCGAGCCCGTAAGATATCGCAGCTCACGAGTGGGGAGATTTCCGCTCTTCCTGAAGGGGAGGTGGTCCGGGTGTATAGAGGTGTAGGGAAAATGTTCGTTCAGGAACCGAGGAAGGTTATGGAGAGGAGCTTGGAAGTGCAGGAGAAGGACATCGAGGAGGAGTTGCAGGCATTGAATAAGAAAGTGCGTAACAATCGGAATAGATGGTTGAATGTAGAGGTGCTTAGAGGTGATGTAGGCAAAGCGGTTGGAAGATGAGTACCAGAGGACTCAAGGGCAGCTGAGAGATATCGTGAGTGACGGTATGAGGGGAGTTCGTTATGAATGCTGACATGTGTAATAGTTCCACTCCCAGCAACAGTCATGATCCGCAAGTATTGGTGGAAATATAGTGAATGAGAGTCTCGAGAGGCACGTAGGACGGGATGAATTCAGAGAGACGGCGAGACGAGCGCTATGAGCTCGCCTAACGTCAAACTATGCTCCAACAAGGACCGTCACATGTTTCATGACAAAGTTGGGCCACTATGTTGGAGCAATGTTGGAAAGTTGGGATGGGGATGCATTGAATACTATGCCTTAATGAGAGGTTGCTGATGTGTCGAGTCCCTGTCGATGCGTTCGGTCCACACTCCCATTTCCCCCACACTCTGCACGTCTGCGAGTATGTACTTTGTCACTCTTACTCTCATACCCTTCTGCTCTCATCACGGACGAGCGCTTACCTGTCTTGATGATCCCTGGAGTGACCGTGTTGAACGACTAGAAATTTACTTCCGATGATGAAGTCCCTTGCTGCCACACACTGGTGTCAGTGGCCTGCGCACACAGTGAGCAGCGACCATTGTCGACATTTGGGCTAGATAGTCTACTTACTTTGGTCGACTATCTCCTTTTTGTGACTTGACTTGATTATATGGCTACCACCAGCACAGCGACCGCACCGAATGCGCATACCCAGAACCATCTGGACACCAAGCCAGGAGGGAGCAAGGCTGCTCCAAGTGCTGGAGCAAGACAAGACGGTGGTCCACCAGGTCCTCCCCCTGTGGGACCTGTGCCTCCCACCCCCGCAAAGCAGATAAATGGAGCGTCCAAGTCGCCTGCTCCCGCCAGTACGCATGCGACCGCTACTCCGGGTGGGGGCAGTACGGCCCAGAACACTCCGGGGAAAGGGAAGAAGAAACCTGATCCGCCGGACGTAATGGCTATGTATGAGAGTGTGAAGAGTCGCATTGCTGCGTTGGAGTCGTAAGTTAGCTTTGGGGTATGTGGTGCAACGTGCTCATACGTGTATAGAGAGGAGGTGCATGGGGAGGAGGAAGAGAAGAAGATCAGTGAGTAATTTAAGAGAGCATTCGTTCGAGCGAGATAGCTAAAGATGCGACGAATCAGCGGAGGAAGCGAGAAACTCGATCAAGGATCAGACTGAGAGTGCCATTCAACAAAAGTATATTGAGCTGGTCCGTCCTTGCTTTCCTTGCGCCTAGTTAATGTGCTCACCCGAAACGCAGTTTGCGGAGATGAAACGTCTTGAGCGAGAGCACGCGAAGGAGAGGCAAAAGCTGACGAAAGACAAGGATGCGGGTGCGTTTGCTATTGTCCTGTGGTCGTGCGCCGTGCTTACTTGGGATTGTTTTAGCAAAATCCCAGTTGACAAAGGCGAACCAAGGGAGGACGAAGTTGGAGAACTTGGCGCGGGAACTGCAGAAGGTGTGCACTATGTGTCTATTTAGATTGGGAGCTGTAACTAATCCTCGTGTGGTGTAGGATAACCGGAAGTTGCGTGTACGATACTTGATTTGCGGGCGCTCGGGAGTCACGTGACTGACATCTGATGCAGGACGACGGCAAGCGCCTTGCTGGGTCGATTGAAGAAGTGCAAGAGGAGCTTGCGCACATGAAGACCCAAGTTGAGCGGCGCACTGCAGCTCTGATGCGGAGACGCGACCCTTCCCGTTTGGCCCCGAATGGGCAGGCCCCGTCCGACCTGGTAGTCAAGGTCGTGTGCAAGTACAGGGCCGAGCTGTTCTTCAAGATCTCCCGAAAGACGAAGCTCTCTCGGTTATTTAGTGCGTGGACGGATAGGATGGCGAGTGCAGAGGAGGCCACGCTGAGCCAGCAGGAGAAAGGCAAGGGCCCTGTGGTTACCAGCGTGGATGGCAAGGAGGCGAAGGGGAAGAAACGCGAGCCGCCACCTATGACATTCCTTTTCACGCATGTCGGGCGAAGTCTGGAGCCGGATACGACACCGGACGAGGCGGGAATGGAAGATGGAGATGAGATCCTCGCGGTCGAGTTGATGGATCTGACGGGGCCGGAGGTAGAGAAGGAGCTGCCAGATGGGAAGCGGGTCTTGTTGCAGAAGAACTGGACAGATAGTCCAGCTGAGTGCGTGGGGTCACTATGCTTCTTATTGGGCGCTGATGGATGAGTAGAGCGAGGAAGGCGGTGGAAGAGCTGTTTGATGGCATGTGAGTGCTTTCGCTGGGTGTGTTGGAGTAAATCTGACGTGTACGAAAGGGTGAGAGAGCGGCTGAAGGACGTGTTGAGGCAGTACGAATTGCGAGAAAAGCACTTCGACTGTGTGATCCGGTCCAAGGAGCTCGAAGTACTGCTAGCCCAAGCGCGCGTGGACGAATCCCGGCACGCAGCAGACGGAGAACGGCGGATTGCTACTGTCGCCGAGACGCAAAACCAGCAGCTAAGACTCCAGATGGAGGAGATGCAGAACTCGCAGGCCCGGCTTATGGACAAGCTCATCACTTGTTGCAAGGAGGTGCGTGGCCTCAATGTTTATGAGGTGCCGTTGCTGATGCGCAGCCAGCCGACCGGTGAGAGGACGCAGAAGCTGTTCGCGTTCCTGCGAGAAGAGCTGGAGAGACGGGGAACAAAAGTATTGGATATGATGCCACCTGCGACCCCTGATTTGTCTGGAGTGGACTAACGCCCACCGGCCAACGCGAACGAAAGTGTACGACTGGGTAGCGCATTAATGTCTATGCTTGTTACAATCTCTTGTTTAGAGTCCTTTCTCTGAAACTACTGAAGGAGGTGCAGCGCCTCCAGGGTGTCTGCGGCCCCGCTCTGGACAAGGACCCAGCCCTCGACGCCTGCTAGTCCCTCCCCAGCGTATGTAACATGCGGGCCCACCTCGACCTCTGCACCCTCTGCGACCCTCGCGCCCGCAGCCTCCAACCACCGTTTCTGCTGAGCCAGGAGATCGCGTTTGCTCGTCTGCGGGTCGTCTACACCGGTGCCGGGCGCATTCTTCAGTGGGCTGAACTCTTCCTGCCTCGAGACTTCCAGCACGGCCATCTTTTGCGTGAAAGGGAAGACATCGAACACGAACAGCTCCATCTTGATCCCGTTCGGCTTGACGGGCTTCACGTATTCCCCAGAGGGAATCTCGACATGTGAAATCTTCTTACGCGCAATGTGGAATGCCATCTCGTCCTCGATGCTAGCGATGCTCTCGAGGAACTCACGCGTGTAAAAGTGGTTGACGATGTTAGCGGCGCGGAAAGCGAACTCGCCGGTTGCAGCGTCGATCTGATGAGCCTGGGCTTCGGTGATCTCGGAGTATTCTACAACGGAGAACTTATCCCCGCGCATGGCGATTACGCCAACTGATTCGGTGGGGTAGGCTTTGCGTACCACCTTGGCACCGCATGCCGCGCCTTTCGACATCGAGTAGCCGATGAAAACGGGATCGGCCACACGCACCAGGCAGTTGTCCACACCGTAGGTATGGATGTAAGTTATGCCGCGGGCTGCCATGTCGGAGAGCGGTGTGCGCTTGGGGTCGGAGGAAGAGAGAGGAGAGCGAAGGGCGGCGTAGAGACCGCCGTTGCCGTCCGGAGCCACGGCTAGGCTGGAGGTTTTGTCTAGCAGGATCTTGCCGTCCATCGTCAAACAGGGCAACGTTCCTGCATGTATGCGTCAGACTAGTGCTATATGAAGAGGATAGTGCGCACCTTGCTCAAAGAAGATTACGTCTTTCTCGGGTAGACCAAAGTAATTGTGCGCCTTGAAGAACGCCTCTGTTGGCTTCCTCGTCGGCCCACTGGTCATCACATACCAGGGGATACTGGCGCCTCCCGCCAACTTGGACACCTTGGCGATCCTTTCCGCCTGGTACTGGAAGAGGCTCTTGTGGCTCGGCATACCAATATCGTAGCATCCCTTGGGATCAGACGAACCGAGACGCGTGCCCTGTCCGCCGGCCATGAGCAGGACGCCCACCTTGCCCTCTGCGATCGCCTTGAGCCCAATATCACGCCATTGAGCCTCTTTCTCCGGTGCACCGATAATCGTATCGAACGCAAATGCAGGGAGGGGATTGATCGCAGCAGATGAGGCTCCGGCCTTCTCGTACTCGACGGCGGTCTTGAACACGCGGTTGACGCGCTCCACGTCCAGCGCTGCAAGTTGTGCGACGAGCTCTTGCTGCTCTGGAGGAGAGAGCGTCGGATAGAAATGCAGCAGGTGCTCTTGACCGGCGGCTTCGTACCGCTTGAGCAGGTCGATAGGGATGGCAGGCATCGTTCGCAGAATGAACTGGTGGTTGGTGTAGAGCTCGCCGACGAGCTATAAATACGAGACGGTCAACTACATGGCGGGCTGTGTTCCCTGACAGCGTCAAGGAACGTGCGATGCAACGGCGATGAGAACGCAATTCCGAAAGTAAGTTCAACTACAGCTCAATTCCACATGAACAGCATCGCATTAGTAGATACAAATAAATGTTTTGATTCGTGGAAGTGTGCTGTAAATCACCGTCACCCCAACCCCTTGTCCTCCCAGCACCGTCTTCATCGTTTTCCTGGAGATGATGCAAGTAGCCGTTCTTCCAGCTTATCGGAGATATACAACCCAGCTCCCGCAAAAATAAAGAGAGAAATTCCAAAGATCATACGAGAACGAGGTGATAGAGCTGTTGAAAAAACGGCATGAGCGGTGCTTATTGAGTCGTGAAAATGGTGCGCACCGTTGTAGCTTTGCCACATTGAAATTGCAGGTTTCTTCTCCGATGATGGTGCCACTTTCTTGGCCGGTGCTGTACGACTTGAGGGCGTTTGTGGTGGCGTTACTCTTGATTTAGCCATCCCAGCAGACAGCGCAATTGCCTGGCTGAGAGACAGTTGCACTCTAACAGAAGATCGCCTCAGCGTCCCGTCGATACGCCGCCTGCCTCCAATACGAATTCAATTATTGTTGATATGCTGGATTGCGACGTACAACCAATTGTATCAGCAGATGTGATGAATGAAGCTTGGACGTCGTTCGACAGCGAGCAGAGAATGTGAAGAGCTGACAATATCACGTCCGACACGTGACCCACATTCAGACGCGTCCTTCTCATCGTCCAGCGACCATCATCCAGGATGACCACCTCCTCTCTGCGACCTGGTAAGTACTTACATCTTTCTTATTTGCGATGGAAACGCAGAACACTAACAATTACATATAGAGACCGGTCCTTATAAACGCCCTCGTCTCTCAGCACCCACCACCCACGATGAGAGAGCCGTCGCGTGCGTTCCGTCTGGCATGAACGGGTGCCTTACTTATGGGTTTGCCTAGTTCTCAAGCCACGTCCTCTGGTCGACGTCCCTCACAGGGCTCATGTTCACGTAATAATCCAATTACACGCGTCTTGTCCGAGTCAGAACAACGGTCACGATTAGCTGCCATCCAAGCTGGTCTAGCAGTACAGGCACCGCAACCGAATGCGTCTTCTGGTCGTCCCGCCATATCCCCGACAACTTCAACAAGTCTCACGCGGCCTCCAATATCAGATGAGATAAGGCAGGCGAGGTTGAAGGCAATTCAGGACACTCTGAGAGAGGATGAGGCTATGAGACAAAGTGCGAGCGCCACGGAGACCTCGAACGTCAACCAATCACTCGATCAACCGTTGGCACAGGCTACTGAGCAACCGTCTGAGGGGTATACAGATCATAACACCACTATGATCTGTGAGTATAGGGCTTTTTTGATAATTATATAGGCTGAACACTGACTGTATGCGCTCAGTCTGGCCTCAGTCCGACGTGGAAACAGATCCCTTGCATGATGCTGACTACGATGATCTTCCAGTAGACATCCCAACATCCGGATTTCATATATTCTCTGCGACTGGGGGAAGTACTGCAGTGAAGCCTCCCGATGAGCGGACACTTCAAGAGCGCCTCAAGCGTCAGCGACAGTGGGAGGAAGAGGATCATGAGGGCGATACCCCTTACCCTCGGTCACCCTCACCTGGCATGAACACTAACTGCGATGCCGCCGATCGAACTTCTGATCATATCAGTACATCGCATTTGGACCGAAAAGGCAAAGCAACTGCGGTTACCGCCCCTCGTACTCCTCTCAGTGAAGTAAAGAACGGTGCACTTGTCTCGCCGACTCGTACCGCCCACACATCAGAGAATGAGGTATTGAGAACATCCGTTTCAAGAGAAAACACCGCACCGCTGTCACTTCTCCAGTCCACCGCTCCTGTCAACCCTCCCCAAACGACCGCCCGTCAATCCGAATCTGCGGGACCGTCCGCTGTACCTGCTCTAATCAATCCCGCTATCCGAGCCCTAAATTATAATCGCCACAAAGCGCCTCACACACCCGCCAAAGCTACTCCAAAGAAGTTCGTCACCCCTTTCAAAACAAACCATACCCCAGCCTCTACCACACCTCCGTCTGCAAAACCCCAACGCATTGTACATTATGGCACACCGAGCATTAAACAACCCACTCAACCCCCGGCCCTGACATCTCAAACGAGCGGACCGAACCACTTAACAAACGGAGCGCGCCGTCGACAGATATCTGATGCCGTCATGAGGAACAGAGTGTTCGACCTTGAAGGTAACAATCTGAATGGCAATGTTGAGTCTTTCTTGACTCCAACTGCACAGATATTCGACATCGACAGACCCTGCTGGCCTCTGGCATTGCGCCAGAAAAATATGACAAGTTTGAGCTGAAGAGTCGGTGGAAGATGTAAGGTCTTTTTCGGTCCTTAGGTGCAAATGATGACGAAACTCCGTTTAGCCCCTCAGCCTTGTTCTCCGTAACGCCCCAAAACGCTGTCTTCTACCTTTTCAATATCAATTCGCAAAATTTAGGTGCATTTGATGCCCACGCTCAACTTATTCGCCGCGGGTGTCGCCTTGCCACCCCAGAGTGGGTCCAAAACCATTGGTCACTCATTCTTTGGAAGTTGGCCGGCATGGCTCGCGCTCAACCAGAGGACTTCCACAAGCACTGGTCGTACGATGAAGTTGTCCGACAGTTGCTTTATCGGTAAGTGTGTGCATGCCTAACCCATCTGCATTACTCATCTTCCGTTCAGCTATGAGCGTGAAATCAATCGAGGTGAACGTCCTGCAGTCCGCAAGATTCAGGAACAGGATTGTCCTGCAAGTAGACCAATGGTCCTCACAGTCTGCGAAATCTCGTGGTCAGAGGGACAGAAGCCCGAAGAAGCGGGAAAGAAGCACCTGAATTTCGTTCTCACAGATGGGTGGTACAAAATTCGCGCCGCAGCTGATGAGTGCCTCGGAAAGGCGGTGAATATGGCCAAAATCAGGATCGGAACGAAGATCGCAATGTCGGGGATCAAATTGGAAGCGGCAAAGGAGGGCAAGGAAGTGTTGAAGGCTCTCGACAACACGCAACTTAAACTGACTGGCAATTCTACAAGCATCGCACGATGGTACACAAAACTTGGGTTTTCTCCGGTCCCGTTTGTACCAACAATTGCCAGTCTTACGGCTGACGGCGGTAACGTCGTGATGTTGCATATCGTCGTCACAAAGCTATTCGAGATCGGATTCATCGATTCCCAGGTAGAGGGACAGCCAAGGCCCGTCCCAAGGTGTCAGAAGGAAGAAGACGCTGCGTTGGACGCGTGGATGGTAAGGGACTTGTACTGTTTTAGCCGAAGTGCTCATAAGACACAGAAAAAGTGTGAGAAAGATCAAGCGGAGTTGTGCAAGGAATTTGAAGACAACCTAAACAAGTTAGAAGGTCTTTTAGAGCGGCTCAATCGACAAGCTGGTTACCAGCAACTCAGTCGCGGTTCGTGGGAAACTCCGCGGTTTTCTTACGTAGTAATACTCACCTGATTCCTAGATCATCTCCCAGCCTGGGCCGAGGATACCTTAGAAGAGCTCCTCGAGGCGGATGACTATCGACCGTTGCTACAAGAACGCTCCCGTCAGGACATCATATACCTCGCCACTGCTGCGCAAATGAAGCTTGATCATGACCAAACCAACGCACGTCAGTTGATCGAAAGGGCAATGGAACAGCGCCACGAGCCACGTCAGGTACGCAACTTTCAAGTGGCTTGGATCGAGGATGCACGGACTTGTAATCGAATCCCAATGCGCACCGGTCAATTGACGGTATGGGATGCTCTGTCACTCGATCTGCATGAACGAATGCAGTACGTGGTACGTCGATTCCGGGATTGTTTTAGCTGGTTGTGGGCTAATGATGCTAACAAAGGTCACCAACCTCGTTCCAACCCAAAAGAGCTCATGGAGGAAGCCCGACATGGAGAGTGAAGTATTCCTGCAGACGACTCGGGGAACTCGGTGGACTCCATTGACTTGAAGTGGCAATGCCAATGTTCTGTGCAGTGTAGCATAACGATGTTGTACTAACGTCTGTATTATTGTATCAGGGATCGGTATCAAGTTGCGGTATGTATAGATAAGGCATTGGGATCGTTCGATTTACGAGTTCTTTTCCTGGCTCGATCGGCGGTCCCGGGCTGCCAATTGACGCTGAGATTAGCGCCCGATAAGCTGACGGATATTCCCAGAGGAAGGGTTTCCATGGGTTCCGTAACCATTTGGTTCCCAACTGAATCCAACGGCGGAGTTTTCGTTCTTCGTATTGACAGCCAACAAGCAACAGGAACAAGACAGGATTCGACCCGCATCTCTCTCTCGTTCCATTCATTTGGCTATATAGCTCGATTTGATCTCAGCAGCCAATCAAATGACTGGACGGCGGATCAGCTGGCAAAATGCATTCATGCTCTCCACTGTGAGGGCGATAAGCCGGATGGAGGGTATCATGCGTCCCCATTGGCGAATCTGACCTTCTCGGCTTGCTATAAACCCCAGTACCCCAGCCAAACCATGGTGCTTCTGTACCACAGAGTGCGGAGTTCTTCTCTTCGCTGAGCTACGGCCTCGCATCCTCCGTACTCGTGCAATCTGTTGCCCAGGACTGAAGGACAGGATATTGTCATGGCTGAGTCGACCGAGGAGGATATCAAGGCACCCGTTGACCCTGAAGTTGAAGTAACTGTTATGAGTATGCAGTGCAATCTACTAGTAATCTTTGTGTCAACTTAGTGACGTGTCTTTCCAGAACGGATCGGCAACAAGCCGCCCATAGAAGAGCTGCTCTACTATGCCAATATCCAACGGGAAACTTACACGGAAGGGCATGATGAGAAGTAGGACATTTCTCTCGTGCGAAATGATCATGCTTATCTGGATATCTTAAGGGGTATGAGCCAGTTCACCAAGGTCTTAAACTGGGCAGACGAGAAGAAGAAGGAGCATTCGGTCAATGTCACTGTTACCCCATTAGAGCTGGACGATACGCTAAGCGAACGGTATGCGTTGTCTTTTCATTATGTATTTCTTTTCACTTGACTCTACAGAGAGCGAGAGAAGCTAAACGCTCATCGCGCCCTCCGTACCGCCGGATGGGCGGCTATGTTCTATCTGATCACCACCGACATCCTTGGACCATTCAACGCGCCATATGTGAGCGCTCTGCACTATTATTCTGCATGTGGAGGTAACCACTTTCCAGGCTTTCAGCACTGTCGGCTATGTCGGTGGTGTGTTTCTGTACGCGCTATTCGGCATCGGTGCCGGATATACTTCTCTGCTTCTTCTGTACATGTACCTCCGGCTCGACTCTGACCGCTATCCTGTACGGAACTATGCCGATCTTGTCGAAGTCGTCGCCGGTCCCATAGCACGCCGCTTCGCGACGGCGGGCCAGTCCATCCAGCTCATCGTCATTGTCGCGACTGTGATCCTGGGCAACGGGCAAGCTCTGTTCCAAATCACCCAGAGCCAGCTGTGCTTCATCGTCAGCGTGCTCATATTTGGGCTTCTTGGAATGTGTATAGGTCAGATCCAGAGTCTAAAGAGCGTCGCTTGGGTCGGCAGTGCCAGCGTGTATCTCAATATCTCCGTCATTTTGATTAGCATTGGTTTCTTTGCGAATTCTCCCCCCAACTATGTCGGAGGTACGTACAATTGGTGCTCATTGAGATTTAAAGATTGATGGGTCACAGCAAATGCCGCATATGGCCTTCCTATCGACCCCCCTGCGCCTATTGAGCACGTCGCAATTGTAGACGGCACCCTTGCCAACAAGGTCAATGGAGCGAGTAATTCATTCCCTATTCTGCATTTTTTATCTCGTTACTCATCGGTAGCGCAGTGAACATGGTCTACGGTACGCGACATCGGTGTCAAAGCCGAGCACCGGGCTAATCGGTGGGGCAGCGTGGGGTGGAATGATGATCTTCCCCGAAATGATGGCGGAGATGCGTCGTCCCATGGACTTCTGGAAGTCAATCGTATGTTGTGCTTCGCAGATTATCCCGTTTTGATACGTTTAACAATATGCAGGCTTGTGCCGAACTCGTCATCATGATCGTCTATGTGATGTACGGTATCGTCGGCTATTGTAAGCGGTGTAGACTCTTTATTTCGTTAGCCGTGTTGAGCGATAAGGCTAGCCTTGCAGGGTCAATATGTTCTCCCTCTCGCTTATCAAGGCGTCTCGTGAGGATAGGTGTTTCCGAGCCATGATATAACACTCAACGCGTTTCAGAAAATACGCTTGGCAGAGCGTCGGCAATGCCATTACGCTCCTAACAGTGACAAGTGCGTAAAAGATAGCTTTGTCCAAGAGGTTGTGCTGATTCAATTACAGTTGCTGGAACTTTATATTCTAACGTGAGTGCATTCCTTGACAACCGGAGCAGTCTTGGTTCATTTTTGGTTCGTAAAGATCGGAGTCAAGGTCGCATGTGAGTGTGTTTCTGATATCATTACCTACTGACTGACACATTCTATCAGATGAGTACGTCCGAGGCCTTGCTGTTTCCGCTTCCTATTAATGGTGTCCAAATAGAATCTTCGTCGAAGATATGCTGAGAGGGCCACCTTTGGTCTCCAAGAGAGGCCGTGTGATCTGGACCTGTGCGAGAAATAAATCATTCCTTCTGTACAGTGATCTGATTTCTTCCCGTAGTTATGGTCATTGTCTACTGGGCTGTCGGTACGCAAAACCCGTCTACACATTCTTTCGATTCTCACCCGTCCATAGCATTCGTGATCGCGAGCTCCATTCCTCAGGTGCAAACATTGCAGGGTCTGATCGGGGCCACATTCCTCATGCAATACTCGTACACGTTCCCGGTAAGAGCCGTCATGCGTCATCTTCCGCGGCTTTGACAAATGATATTTCTGTCAGCCTTTGATGCAGTTCGCCTTCGATGTCATCGTTGATGCAACCAAGGGAGATCCTACGTATGTTCCTGGTCAACCGCACAAGCGTTCCGATACATGGCGGGACATATCGCGGTGGAAGAGGGTACGTTGATCATTGACTCAGCTCCTCCCTGATGTTGATCCGGTTATGCAGGGATTATTCACCGGCAGAGTGTGGTTTAAATGGATGAACTTCATCCTTGCTCTGGCTGGTGCGGCAACCGCTTGTCTTGGTAAGTGATTCGTGCTGCTTCTGCTCCTCATCCTAACATTCGCACAGGGATATATGGTGCGGTCATTACGATTCAGGTGACTTTCGCCAATGGGGCCGCGACCAGCTTTGGCTGTGCGGCACCTGTCTAGCGTGAGAACGCCCAGAAATTTAGCGAGTTAGATGTTATTTATTCTTTCATATGTCGTATGCCATCGATACTGCCTCATATTCATTTGGACCACGCACATTCAGTAGAGAAGGCCAGATGTCACGCACGCGCCAAAGGCTGTGCGTTCGCTTCCGAATACAATTCACGTTGTCTCCTGGAGAACTGGGAAAGGGGCCGTGCTGAGCACCGGCAAAACCCTAGCTCGAGTGCGTAGGCTATGTTACAGTAGTTAAGTCCTATAATGTAGTTTAGCAGTGAGCGGGTCAGGGCAGCAAATGGGTCAGGTTTGTGGACCCTCTGTGATGGATGTACAATATCTCACCATTAAAGCAACATCTCATTAATCAGACCACTGTACAGGCACATTATCTACTTGTTCTGCACCAGGGCACATCCTGGAGTTGTGTCCAGGCAATCTGCAGAGTCTACAGCATTGTGCACCCAGATTTGCTTGATTCAACCAAGCCTCCCCTCTGTCTTGATCCTGCCCATCCAGCTCACCAACACATTGCTCTGCCAAGAGCTCATTGGCTTGTGCACCAGTAAGTACTCCAGAGTCCTGGAGACAGAGATTCTTGATCCTGTGACATCTGGAAAGGTGGTCAACTGTCTCTTTGAGAAGCTGCACTTGTCTGGTCAAGAGTGTCATGCAATGGTCTTGCTCAATGGCATGCTTTGCAAGCTGGTTAATCAATGCATAGATTGAGGTAGGTGAGCTCCCCTGATGCTGGGCAATCCTGTTCTTGATGAGTGTTGCTTGGGAGGCAGTCTCTGCTGCAGTCTTTGGTGTTTGCAAGACCCATGGCTGCTCCAGTTCTTCATTGACTGGCAGAGGTGTAGGCATCCATGGGTGTAATGTGAGCTTTGATATGACTGCCTGTGCATTCACAGACCAGCACCTTGGAATCCACTCTTAATATTTTGAACTGTGAATGCCAATGCAAATGCAGTGTGGAATGTGGCAAAGAAGTTGGGCTTTGTGATGCTTGTGATGCCACACTGCGAGAGCCAAGAGATCTGGTTGCAGTATGCATGCTTCAAAGGCCCAAAGATGCTGACATCGAGAGGTTGAGTATAGTGTGATGAGTGTGGCGGTAGGCAGAGGGGGACAATATTGTGATCCTTGCAATACTGGTTAAACTCAACCATGACATGGCTCCTATGACCATCAAGGACCAGCATGTGGTATTGACCAATCCTGCAGTTCTCAGTACACTTGTTGAAGTGCATAAGCCATTCCAGACCAGTAGTGTTGTCCATCCAGCCTTTGTCAGTGGGTTTGACAACCCAATCCCCTGGGATGTTGTTGCCTGCATACCATGTTGCAAGGTGGTGCCACCCAAGCATGCAAAGAAAAGGGGTAGGACATACCCATCTGCTGCAATGCAGCAGATAGCTGTTGCCCACTCCCAGTTCCCTGGCTGGATAGCCTTTGGCCAGGCTGTCCGTTCACTGCTTATCACAACCGTTGTTGCTCTGATCATGCCCATGGCAAAGCCAGTCTCATCAAAGTTATAGAAATCACCTGGCTGAACACCATATTTTGATTGCATATTGGTCACAAGCCAGAACCATGCAGCGTACACTTGTGGATCTTCCTGCCATGCTCTCTGGTAGTCAATGTCAGGGCACCAGCTCATTGCTTGGTCAAGAGACATGACTAAGCCTTTATGACATGGAAGTAGCTGGTATACCTTGGCATGTGCTGGAACCTGCTGGAAGGATTGGATGGTCAGGTGACCTGCTGTGCATGGCTGTGCATGACCTCATATGACCTCATCCTTGGTCATATGACCTGATCACCTGACTAGGCTGAGTAAGCAAGATGTTCTAGCAGGTTCCACCACAGAGGTATAAATATAAGGCCTACTCTGCCTGGGACTGTCTCTTCAGACTTGGTCTCTTAGGATCATCCACAGATACCTATACTGTAGATAGGTCTTAGTCATCAGGTCTACTCCACTTCCTTGTTGCCTGCTTAGACTCTTGGCACTCTTAGGTGAGCAGACTTA